TYYWAMMKSCSRCRAAACATATTGTTTATCGCTTCGTTAAGTGTTTGATTACTTTGCCTGTCTAAAACTTCATAGGGGAATTACTCAGCTCTATTTGTGTGGTTCTTAGTGCCGTTGTRAATATGACTCATTGATGATTTATGTTTGTGTCTGGTGCTGTGTTGAATTAACTGAACTTGTTGTTGATCTTCTCCTCKACTGGCTTTGCCAGATGCTAAGATTGCGGGTGAAAGAGGAAGTYACTAGACATTCATCATCACTTTGAGTCAATTTTTTTATTTAAATTTAAATGTATACATTAAGTGTCTGATGAATTCTCTATTTGGAGTGAAGGTTTAAGTTAATTAACACAAGTGAAATTCAGAACGAAATTCCTAATTTTGCGACGAACATCGTATTGTCAAAAAATAACCTAATTATTATTAGCGAAAGCACAGCAAATTGAAGTTCAGTCCTGAAATTATTTTAACTATAACTATGGGTTCTCTTCACTGCCTCGAACGCTCCAACATCCATTGATTGAAGCATTTATGATTGATTAAAATAATTCACATTTCAAATGTTTGCCGTGCCAGAAAAGAAGTCACGTTAAGCAGCTAAAAGCTATTATTTTCAGTTGAATCACGCCGTAACTGGWGCGCTTAGTTTTAACAAAAAATGTTGTGTTTTGCTTTCGTACAGTTTTGTCATTTTTCAAAGCTATAAAGTGTAGATGTTTTCACGAGTCAAGGTCAGTATGCGAACACTCAGCACTCATAAAACGCTGTGGTATGGTTAGCACGTTCTACAATGCGTGCACTTTTTCGATTGACAAAACCTTACTAAATTAAATTACTWTAAAGTGTGTGTTTTTAACCGCACTTAGGGGGGAATTGGTCGAGACCATAGAAAAGCACGCCTTTAGGTCCATATCTCATTTACAGTGATATTAGGATTTCCTTAATWTAATTTTCCACTATTTGGATACACTTAAATTGTTTTAATTGTTTCTTTGCAAGTATAAATGCTATTTAATGTTTACGCTTGTTTAGTTTCATTCCAAGCTGAACCAGATTTTTAAATTTGATCAAAAATATATCCACTAGTATTTGATTCCACATTTCGCTTTTTTTAACTCAAGGATTTGACTGTTTTTGGCTCACTTTTTCAGGTCGTACTCKTATTTTATGATCGATTTTCTTTTCATTTTTTTGCTTTGCTTTCGTCTTTGATAGCTATTAATAGACAAGTGAATTTTGCATTTTCATGAKCTTAAACCGAAGGCTTTAAATCTGCGAAAATATAATGATAAAGCTTGTGTTAAATTATTGTAAAAAAACGTGAGTTGATAAGAAACTGGATTCGCACATTGTTATTCTTTGCAATTTTAAGTATTCGGCARCCTTAATATAAGCTGCCGATTTTATAATTGCTAGTCAAGCTTGCGAAAAAATCAATTTGTTCGCATATGTTCTTTATATCTCTATAAAGTGATGGCTGTCTAGATATTTTTTGGGGTGTTACGTGCACGCATCATCGTTAATTAAGTGTGTATTTTTTATTYTTATCCGTATTAGAGATTTGAGTGACAATGGTTTATCCACTTTACCGGCAGCAAGTTTGTCAAACCTGACATATTTACGATATCTGTAAGTATTATTAATCTAAATGACCTTAAACTCGAGTCTTGTTATGGCTAAATCGGTACATATCTACATGAGGGGGACATTTGACTGGCATATTTTGTCATCGTSTAATATTGSGATTTATAATTCATTTGTCTGACGATAAAAAAGCAAGGCGTATTTGTCAAAGACTGAGTCAAAACATTTGTAGGATCTAAAAATAGCTTTGCGTGTCTAAACATTTTATTAATTAAATGGAAATTATCGCAAATAGCCATCACAACGTCAGGTAATCATTTCAATGCATTGGATCAAAAGTTCGAAGAAGGCACCCGAAGAACATTTGATCGAAAACTCAGACTCGTTTGTTTTGAATCGAATATAGACACTAAAAAATTAATAAGCCCTTATGGTTGCAGAAAACCATTTCAAGGCAGTTTTAGTCGACATGCGTGGAACATTTTTTGCAAGGTGTTCTAAAAACATCTGATCGCGAGCTCAAGCTTAATTGATTGAATCCACTCCGCTTTATATATTTTTGTTCTAATTAAACTAAGTACAACCAAAATTGTCAAAAAAATGTCAATATCAGGCAGCGGGTGAGCACATGATGGGCTCATGCAAAGAAAGAAAAAAAAACATTTGATCGTAGGCTTGGTGGATTCTTTGAATCGCGTAATAGYTGTATCTTATCCAAAAGAATTAATTCAAACCAGATATTCCAGATATCAAATAAACATATCAAAATGTTTTCTCTCCTTTGAAACAGTAYGACATTCAGAAGATCAAAAAGCCGCCTCTCCGCATGAGTTTGGTAATCAAATAGCCTTGCATTCAAAGCTCGTAGCATTACTAGCATACTAGCATAGCMKAACGATTTCTCGAGCTTTCTCCGTCTTKACCACAAAACATATCTTTGGAAATCACATATGACCTAATCTCGATTACTTGATAACCTCTTTTGGATGTTTGTCTCTGGGTCTATTTGACCTGCTGATGATTGAAGCGAAAAAAATCGTACAAAAAGTAACATTGAAACAAGAACCAATGCCGGTTTTTTTTGGACTCTTGATTTAGCGATTCCGAGAGCAAAAGAGAGAGAGAGAGAGAGAAAATAGGATTAACTAAATAGGCAGCAGTAAAGCCTAGGTATTCCACTTCTCTTTTCCTTTTAACTTCTCGTGTATATACAGCTATTTTAGAATATTTTGTCAGGGAGAATTTGGTTACACAACCTAAAGCAGTTGTGCTTAAATAACAATTTACAATCTCAGCCATATTTTTGTGGTTTAACCAAGTTTGCTTAACCACTCTACTACAAAATTT